CTGAAAGGGCTTGCAGTAGAATCTTGCTTAAACATATTGTGAAACAACAAATTTTTTCCTAGATCCCACCAATCAATGTAATTCTACCTCCTTTTAGTAAACCCATAACTTGGAATAACAGATTTTTTTTATCCTAAATATTGAAAATTTGCATTTTTTCAATGTTTAGTAAAAAATATTTGGATGTTTCTAGAGTTCAATGATGCATTTGTTACATCTGTATTGCACAATTTAAGAATTGTATGAAGAGAGTTAGCAGAATGATATTATTGAGAAAGAGCCACCTACTGAACATTCTGATGCTGGTCCCAAGTGTATTGCCAAAATTTAGCAGAGTCATCAAGTCTTTCCAAGTTATGAAGACCTTCCTAATGAGTTTCAGCATAAAGGAACAGATTGTACATGACATTACTAAAATCAAGGTTGTTCTATTCAACAGACAGAAAAGCAGCATCAAAACAAACTAAGATGGACAAGTTTTTTAACAAATTGTGAAGTCAAATAATGTGATAATGAGCATAATTAATTTGCCTCTTTTATTCTTACAGTATATACAGTTTCCAACAACTTTGTTGTACACACACAAGGCATAATATACAATCTTGTAAGATATGTGATTTTGAAGTGTGAGCAATCCATTAAACAAGTTTATACTGTATTTAGTTTGTAATATTGTTTTTCATGCACTCCAATTCAAGCAGAGAGATAATGAGAGATTAGTCATATTATGAAAAGTGTATAGTAACAATATTGAAGTCTTGCACATGTATACAAGTTTCAGAAATTATTTAGTTCACAAAAACAAAATAGGAAAATTGCTAACTTCAATGACAGAAGAATGTTGAAAAAACTTTGAGTGATAGTATACAAAGGTAATAAGACGAGTATTTTAAAATATAAAACAATTACAGTAGATTCCCCTATAAGACTGGTTCCTATAATTACAATTCCTATAAGACGGCGAAAAAATTGTGGCGGTATCCGTACACAACGGTAAAAAAACTCCTATAATTACATAAAACGTCATCTGGCAGACAAACTACTTTCCCGCCGTCCGTAGTGCCACGCTACGGACGTTTAGGCGGGTAAATTGAGTTTAGTTTCATCTGTACATATAATTATATATAAATTAGGTACTGTACATATAATTATATATTAATTATATATAAATTAGGTACTGTATATATAATTATATATTAACTTAATTTATTGTAACTTTATTATAATTATATATATGCTTTCCGCCACCTGGCACCACGCTACGGAGAGTTTAGGCGAACTATCGTCTGTACAGTATGTAAATTAGGTACCGTAAGTCTAATACAGTACTGTAATTTTATACATTTCTTGTGAAAGAAACATTTCTTATTCGACGACAATTAAAATTATTTATATTAATGATGTCTCCAAAGTTCAGCGAAGTTTTCGCAGAAAAATAACATCAGAAATCGCGGCTGCAGTTTGTTGAGCTGTTCCACGACAAAAACTAGCTTGAGCAATGGCAATGTTGAATGGTGTACACTCGGTAAGTAATCCTACAATTTTTTGTTTATAGTGTAGTTTATACAGATTATTTCCAAAAAAAAATATACGTATTTTGGAAATGTTGAGTCGAATTAGTCTAGAATCGATTAATTTTATGGAAGAAAACCTTTCAAACAGCCATAGTCCGTAAACTTCACACGTGTCGGGCTGTGATTGGTGTGATTCCTACAAAATTGATTCATAAAGAACGGAACATATCTACCGTCTTATAGGGGAATCTACTGTATATATTTACAAAAAAAAAAAAAAAAAGAGAGAGAGAACAATTATGTCAGAGTGATTGGGTATGAGAAATGTGAATTTGAAAATAGTTCCATGAATCCTTACAGATGATAATCAGAAATATGTAAAATTTGCAGTGTAATTTTGAAAAAATTTATATATTATCTAAATTTTTGGATGTCATAATAAAAGAAATAAATTCAATGTTTTTCAGTATGATCCAAAAACAAAGCAACAGAGCATCAATAGCAAACTCCCTCATCATCCCATTTGAAGATAACAAGAATGTTTCAATTTCAAAGATCATGTCCATACTTGTTGCTTTCTTTGAGTGTCATGTTGTTATTCATTACGAATTTGATCTGCCAAATCAGACTCATAGTTGCAACTATCAGCATTTTGTATGCTCTATCAGTGGACAGACCACTTTTCCTTTTGTCATCATTTTTAAAGAATTTGATATTGTCACATAAACACTTCATTTAACAAATCTAACACCAATACATAGGCTGAAGACATTGCATGTATTCTGTTATGAACAACTGAAGCAAAACATAACACTGTTCTCAGATTCTTTCAATTGGGAAAGAACCAAGATTAATAATTTTATATATGTATGTTGGTATATATATGAGAATTTTAGCTAAAATGTGATAATTTTAAATAACAGATAAGGTAAATTGCATCTTTAAATCTGGCAACTTTAGTGCAATCATGTTGGTGGTTAAATCAATTATGGCCAACTCATCAGCAGAAGGAAACAAGTTACTTTTACAGTTATACCAAATTATTGAGCAGTGCTACAGTTTCTCTGCCCAAACAGAAGAAATATCTGATTCGTTTCTTAAGATTATCTATAAGAATATGGTATGAACTTTTTCAAGAAAAGAAACTAGATGGTTCTTTGATATTTGTAGGACTACAAAAATTACAAATCTTTGTTAGTAAGGCTGATGATTTTACCACACAACATTGCAGGACCTCCCCTACATTGCTATGTGGCAAAAATAAAAGATATTCAGTATGGTAAAAAAAGACAGAGATAGGAAATAAATTAACCAGAATAATTATTGTCCTTAATAAACTGAGTGATAGCAACTGTCATGAATACATTGTACTATAACAAAAGAAATTATTAATAAAGTAAAACATCAAAGGCACTAATCATGCAATATCAAGATTCAAGATTGTGATGTTAAAAAGTATAAAGCTATTGCCATACTCTTGACGGTGTTTATAGCAATAGCTTTATAAGATATCATATGCAGAGATAACATTAAATTTTGTTTATTAAAGATATTTAATATAAGCATTGTACAGTAGATCCCCCTATAAGACAGTAGATACGTTCCGTTCTTTATGAATCAATTTTGTAGGAATCATAGTTTACGGACTACGGCTGTTTGAAAGGTTTTCTTTCATAAAATTAATCAATTCTAGACTAATTCGACTCAACATTTCCAAAATACGTATATTTTTTTGAAAATAATCCGTATAAACTACGTTATAAACAAAAAATTGTAGGATTGCTTACCGAGTGTGTACCGTTCGACTACGCCCGTTGCTAAAGCTTGGTTTCGTCGCGGAACAGCGCATCAAACCGCGGCCGCGATTTCTGATATTATTTTTCTGCGAAAACTTCGTTGACCTTTGGAGACATCCTTAATATAAATAATTTTTATGGCCGTTAAATAAGAAATGTTTCTTTCACAAGAAATGTATAAAATTACAGTACTGGACAGACGATAGGTCGCCTAACTCGCCGTAGCGTGACGCTAGACGGCGAAAAATATATATTTAATTATAATAAAGTTACAATAAATTAAGTTAATATATAATTATATATACAGTACCTAATTTATATATAATTAATATATAATTATATGTACAGTACCTAATTTATATATAATTATATGAACAGACGATACTAAACTCAATTTATCCGCCTAAAAGTCCGTAGCGTGGCGCTACGGACGGCGGGAAAGTAGTTCGGCTGCCCGATGACGTTTTACGTATTATAGGAGTTATTTTTACCGCTGTTTACGGATACTGCCACTATTTTTATAGGAATCATAACTATAGGAAACGGTTTTATAGGGGGATCTACTGTACTGCCACAATTTTTATAGGAATCATAACTATAGGAAACGGTTTTATAGGGGGATCTACTGTACAATATCAATGTTAAAAAAATTTTTTTGCTTTTTATGCTGTCAGTATTTTCTACCATCACAGTTATTCCCCATTCTAAAGGTTGGCAAATATGCAGGCTGTTAACCAGACATTACTTTGTAAAAAATTTGAAAAATGGCTTGAATTGTGGACAGATAAATGGTTTGTTCATTATTCAAATTATATCATTTTTAACACACTAAAAATAAATTGATAATTGAATTTATATCATTTTTCCTTAACAATAAGGAATTTTTAATAAAAAATTAGAAAATGAGTGGATCATTGGAAATGAAGCTTGTTTTTCATATCAGACATCATGCAACTATTTTTAGTTCCCCAAATTTGCTTTTTGGTTTTCCAGATTTTAATATCTGAATATCCACTGCATCTTCAAATAATACATTTGAAGATGTAGTAGACATTCAGGGAAACTTGACAACAATTAAAAACAATCTTCCAAAGATGACTGTTTTTAATTGTTGACTCCATTAATGCCATTGTTTTATTTCATGAAAATCACAAATATGTGTGTGAATTCAATCAGTACTTTGAAAAAACTGTCATTGAATTTTTTTATATCTAGAAAAATAAATGATTTGAAAATAATTTGTTTTTTAATCCCACACTGTATAAATATTTAAGAAAAAGTTAGAAGTCATGTTTAGAGAGAAGTTGTTATGTTATGTAGGTTGGTAGTTAGTTTTTATAAGTTATGAAATTAGAACAAATGTGTACCTTTGTTGGAAAATAAAAACATTTTCATTTATATTCAATTCTTTTTTCTCTTTTGACATGCTAAAACATTTATATAATTTATTTGCTATAGATTAATTTATCTTTGCTATTTTTAAAAAATTATATTCAATGAATAAATTCATAATATACACTGCAAAAAACATTTTTTAGTTACAATTTTTTTTACAAATCACACTTCCAATAAACTTTTAATATAGATAATGTCATATTCTACATACAGAAAAATCACAATTATGGTTAAATAATATAAATACAAACAAAAATTTAATGTAAAAAAATTATAATAAAAGATCTTTCTTTACCTTGTTAAAATCTTTTCAAAACAAATTACAGTTCTTCTGGAATCATTTCTACCAATGGAAAAACTGTTAAGATTTGGAAAATGTTCTTCTATCACTTTATGTACCAAAAATCGATAGTATTTTAAAAATGGTGGAAATATCAAAACACTGAAAAAAACACAAGGACTTTAATAAACTTTTAAAAATAAATAATATATAACAAATTATTCATACATAAAAATTTTCATAATTAAAAGTTCATTTAATCTAACATTCCAATCAAAACCTTATAGTATGTAGTAATTTATGAGAGTTTATTCAGTTGCACTTTTAAAACATGTTATGAATTTGAAATAATGCATTAATGCAAATAATAATAATAAATATGTCAAAGATACAGGGGCTAAAGCAGCTAAAATACATGACGTTCTGAAGAACCTAAATTTGAATCTGTATTCAATCCTGAAAAATTTTCATGGATTACTGTGGCCTGGATATCAATCTATTACTACCAGGATATATCATTGTAGACTCTCTTAATAGTTTACAAGATGGAAATTACAAGTAAAAAACAAAAATAAATGATTCCTATTATATCTACAAAAAGTAAAAGTAATACATTATTTATTCATACAGTGTAAAAATAAAAAGGAAGTTTTTATAGTTCTATAATGAAATTATCAACAATGATTCTCATTTTATAGCTCCTTTGGGGATAACCTGGGATCTTGGAATTTATTATATCCTGTATTGATTGAGTTTTACACTGGATGGCCTTCCTGAAGCCAATCTCACTTGATGGGATACAATAGCCTGAAACCTCTTAAACTCTACTCTTTCACACTGTAGTTTTTAGAGGATATCAGGATCCCAGATGACAATATAAAAAGTTGAGAACAGTGAATTGACTAAGATAGACCTGAATTATACCAAAATTCTTCTAATTGGTAGAATATCAGCTTTATTAGTTATTATGATCTATTCAGCTTCTTCAATAAGATCTGTTATTAATAAAATATATATTTTTTAAATTTTAATAAAAATATTTCAAGAAAAAAACAATTCAGCTTTTTTCTAAGGACAATATGATAATTTATTTAACACAAATAGTTAAATTTTCACAATGTTTTATTTTAAGGAAAAGGTAGAGATTTTTCAATACCTCAAATATGTTCATAATAATGATTGACAAGTGTTTTGCCCGATCAGCAAACTTAAAAAGTGTCAATAAACAGAAAGTAATGCAAACATCAGATAGTAGGCAAATATGTCACTTAAGTCCCAGAAAACAGGAGAAAACATTTAAGTTTCTTAGTGTCAAGGTTCTCCAACGACATGAACTAAAAATAATAATAGCAGCTATTTATAGTTAGCTTTGAGTCAATAGATTAAAAATCTAATATTGCAAAAGTGGACAATCTGCATCAAGTTAGCTTTTATAAATTAATGGTTCTGTAAAACTTACCTTTCTTTTACTATAAAAACACGTAATAACTCTATACAAATGTTCTAAGACATTTTTGGAAATGTGTCAATGTATGTTGTGTACTGACCGACATCAATTTTTCGCTAAATTGTTTTACAGAATGTCTTTGAATCGATTGTGTTATAGAATGATGATCAAAAGCTTGGAATCGGAAACGACGAAGGGAAAGTATAATCAAAAACAAAATGACCTACCTGTCTTCTCTAGCATCCGATAAGAATAGCTCGACATCAGAAAGTATATATCTAACGAATTCTTCGTCTTCGGACGTCAAATATCTTCCATCCAAATAAGATGCCAGTTTGATGACTAAAAATAAAGAGAAAACACTTTGAACAGATCCGACACCATTCGGCAATCAGAAACACGCACAAAATCAAAACGTCTCAAACCAGACGTCACAGAGGTCGAATGACGTCACAGTAAAAAACACTAATTTTTCATTTGTAAAGTATATATTTAACAACTGTAAAATACTAATATGATTTTATTTCGAAATTCGCAAATTTTGACATAATTTTAATAGTATCGAGCACAGCTTCTTTATAATTAATTAAGATACGAGAGTGATAAAAGTCAAATTTTCTATTATGTGCTACAGATATTCAAAAAGCACTGCCGGAATATATAAAAAGCCAAATATATTTAGTTTTACGTATATACATGCAAAATCAGGTTGTCACTCGAATCTCGATGCTATTAAATTTTTTTAAATTAATTTATTTGTATTTATATTGCAACATTGAAAAAGAGCTAGCCTTGTAAAGTCACGATATCCTAAAGATAATCATTGTATTTCGATATATTGGTCCCCGTCCCTCATCACCCGGCCGCCCCGTTGTGGGTCTGGCCAAATCCATAATAAGCTTGCTAGAAACCCTCTTAATGCCAAAAGGGCGGAAAGTGTTTTAAAAAATCTTTGTACCTTGATCCTCGAAGAAATAGAAAACAGTCGATGTGAAAAATAATAAATATAAACTAAAATTAATTATTTGAAAATAATATAAAGAAAAACACAGTATAAATATTTTTTAAAAAAATTTCTAACTCTTTGTACTTTATGGCCCGGATTCACGAAAGCGTTATAACGCGACTTACGACGAACGTTCGTCGTAAGTTGAAATAAGACAAAATTGTATAACCGGAAACATTGTAAATAGGCATCATTATACAGTGGGTGATCGGTTAACGAACAGATCGGACAACGAACAAATCGGATAACGAACACTTTCGCAAAAGATTTTTATGTTCGGACAACGAACACATGATCGGATAACGAACACCTCACAGAACAAACACAAGAAGCGATGTAAATTAATGAATATCGATTGGTCTTCCCATGTCTTCGGGAAACAATTCGAAACTTTTCGGAGTGTGGGAAACGTCGACATCGACGCTCAAGCCGGTATATACCGATCGGATAGTATTCCTCCGAACTTTGAAACTCTCCCTTGTAATTCCAGCCTTTTATTTTTCTGACAAAACAATTCTTTTATGTATTCGCGAGACTGTCGGGTAGGCACTCGTTAAGTTTTGCGTCTGTTTTTCTTTTCGAAAGGTGAGAGTATAATAGCAAAGGTAGAGAGTGGGCAGAAGATGCCTAATGTTGCTGGGCAGTATGGCGTGAACAGGTCTACAGTAGGCCGCAGTTCAATCTTATTTAAGAAAAATACTGTATAATCAAGAAGACTCAAGCAGCTAAAGGAGTAACAAAAATCACATCTGAGAAATAAAGAACATCGAAGAGTTCATAATGGAACCTGAAACGGATCTGAAGACAGAAGAACGCCAAGAACTCTTGAATGAAGAACACCAAGAATCTCGGCGAGATATGATTCTTTCTGAAAAAGAGGATTAATGCCGATATCTGTTATTAAAGATCCTTTGAAGAAGTGGGAGGATGTCAGAACAACGGTCTTAGAATGGCATCTAAACCAGGTTGAGGCTTGGGGATTTCTACAATTGCAATGCTATTAATTACTTACGAAAAATCCTAAAGAAGAGAGAAAAGCAATTGACATTAGACATATTCTTTAACCATTTGAAACGGAAAAAAATATGACTAATAAAAATGCAAGACTGTGTGTGTATGTATTTTTATTATTACATATAAATAAACGTAGTAAGAAAGTATATATTTTTTATTTTTTGGGGTCTTTAGAACGAATTAATTAAATTCCCATAGAAACCTATGGTAAATCGATGATCGGTTAACGAACAATTCGGATAGCGAACAAGGTCTTGGAACGGATTATGTTCGTTAACCGATCACCCACTGTATTACGACATGGAGTGTGTTTTACTGGGTACACGACAACTGAGTGATCGTCACTTGGGCAACAGAAACTTAAAAATTTTTGCACGCTTAGCGAGCATACGATTTGGCGGATATTTTTTATTTTTTGTAAATATTAGTAAAGAATATATAAATAATAATCTTAATTTAATTAATTTAAAATATATGTTCTCCATCTCAAATTAATTAATAATCTCATGCTCCTTACATCATACTTTTCCTGATAACAACAGAGTTGTGCAGGTCATTTATTTAACTCCATTCAGGGAAAATTTTTTTTAAATTAAAATACGTAACGTAAATTCCGGTCTAGACCATAAGTTTATATGTAGTTAATCAGGGCTACCTGCCCCTACGCTTTTCATATCTGATCTTGACTTTCATCTATCTAATACCGTTATCGAGATTAAAGACAGACATATGATAGGAATTTACAGGTCTGCAATTTCAAACTTGCAGCCCAATAAATGTGGTTAAGACTTATGAAGTACGAGTTATAAATTATGAACTATGAATTACGAGTTATTTCCAACTTAGGAAAAGGAAATGCTTTGGAACAACGTATTGTAGCATCGTTAATTATTTTGTCAGAAGCGGTTAACAAATAACATCAAAGAAAAGCATTTCTTCGGAAACAAATTACAGTCGACCCCCTATAACGCGGTTTCATATAATGCGGTTCGTATATCGCGGCGAAAAATTGCGACCGTATTCGTATAAAGACGCTAAAAAGCCTCGTAAAATGCGGTAAAACGTCATCGCCGATCGTGTCGCGACAGGATTGGTCGAATCTGGACCGATAGTGGACGAGCAGCAGGGCCGGCCATCGGGGGGTGTGCGGCGGATGCTATGCACCAGGGCCCCGCGATTGAGGGGGCCTCAACATTATCGCTTTAAGAAATGAAAATAATACTGTGGCCGTCGGCCATATAAAATAATATGTATATTAACAATCCACGAAAAAACCTTTTTACGAGTGTTATGTCACTAGTAAATTCCACAAGTACTTTCGACCTCCACCGAGGTCTGCTTCAGGTGGTGACTGGCCGTGTTTCGACCCGGCCGTCGTAACGATGTTGCCAATATATATATTTGTATATATATTTGTATATTTGTATATAGTCGTAGTTTCAATGTTTATTTTATAATTTCTTCTATCTCTTTTTGTCTGTCTTATTTCTGGAACTTTCTGGTGACCGTTATTGTCTCTGGGTAGGATTAGCCGTTCTAAGAATCAAAGAGAACTGTTATAACTGATCTGTTGTAACTTGATCTGTGTCAGGTCAAAGATAGAAATTCCTACATACTTTTCGAATGTCTGAGTGAGTTCTTGTGTAGTCGTCACCCTAGGTCAGTTGTATCCAAGAGTGAATAAAATCTGATTTTTCTGATATTTTCCATAAGGAACAAACTTCAATTATTATTAGGTATGTAAATTTTGAAGAGAAAAGATTAATTATAAATGAGTCATTTATAGGGTTTATTGAAGCAACTGATGTGACTGGAGAAGGACTAGCAAAAAGTCTATTGAAAACATTAAGTGAGCTTGATTTAGATATGAATTGTAGAGGGCAGGGATACGACAACGTTAGCAACATGAAAGAGAAATATAAAGGTGTACAATCTAGAATAATTGCTAATCCCTCATGCAATATATGTGTCTTGCCTATCACACTCTTTTAATTTAATAATTCGTGATTCCGCTTCCAGAAGAACATATTGTAAAAATTTTTTGGAGATATTGCAACGTTCATATTGCTTATTTTCTGCATCTACGAAGAGATGGGAAATTCTAAAAAAGCATTTAAACATTACTCTTAAACCATTATGTAAAACTCGTTGGGAAGCCAAAATAGATTCGGTTAAAGTAGGGTATACACAGTTTGAACAAACTTGTAATGCCCTAGAAAATTTATTGATATAAGTAACGATAATACAGCAGTATCCGAAGCTAAAAGTCTATTGGATTCAATACAAGAAATGCCATTTATTTTATGTTTAACAGTATGGTTTGCAATGTTGTCTAAAATTAACGCTATCAATATACTATTTCAAGCGAAAATAATTATTCTTGAGTCTGCTTTTAATTTAGTCAATAAAATTAAAACTGAAATCCAAAATTTAAGAACAAAATTTAACACATTTTTAGATGAAGCAAAAGTGTTAGCACGTAATTTGAATATTTCAGAACATTTTCCTGAAAAACGAATACGAAAAAGAAAAAGGTTATATTCCTAAATAGCAGAAGATGAAGTTATAGAAAACCCGGTAGAGGAATTTAGATGTTATTTTTTTAACACTGTAATTGATATTGTTATTGTACAAATAGAAGATAGATTTAAAAGTATACCAAATATTATTTCTGATTTCAAATTAATCACTGATATAAAAACCTTAGAAAAACATGAATTAGAAAAATGTTCCAAAAACTTTGTAAAGTTTTATAACAAAGATGTAGATGAAAACCTAATCCAGGAAATTGGTTTGCTACGGGATGTGATTTTGAATGAAAGGGATGTAAATAACGCACAAGACATATGCAATACATACTAAATAATAATTATAATGAGTTATTTCTAAATGTATTAACTGTGTTAAAACTTTTCTTTGCGTTGCCAGTTACTATAGCAAGTGCTGAGCGCTCTTTCAGCAAATTAAAATTAATAAAGAATTATCTTCGGTCCAGCATGTGTGCAGAACGTTTAAATGCACTTGCTATATTAAGAATCGAAAAAAAAATTGCAAAAAATTGTAATTTTTCTGAAGTAGTTAATGTATTAGCAAAAAACAAAATCACGCTTTAAATAAACATGCATTAGTAATATATGTTCGTGTTTGTAATTTTTTTTTACTTTACAAAAAATTTAGGCCCCAAATAGTTTGTTGCAACAGGGCCCCTTTATAGAGAAGGCCGGCCCTGACGAGCAGCCAAACTACTTACACGCTACAGAGAGTTTAGGCGGGTAAGTTGAGTTTACTATCGTCTGTACAGTATATAAATTAGGTACTGTAAGTCTAATACAGTACTGTAATTTTATACATTTCTTGTGAAAAAAACATTTCTTATTCAACGGCCATAAAAATTATTTCTATTAATGATGTCTCCAAAATTCAACAAATTTTTCGCAGAAAAATAACTTATCAGAAAACGTGCCAGCCGTTTGGTGCGCTGCTCCGCGACGAAAACAAGCTTAAGCAATGGCGTCGTCGAACGGTGCACACTCTGTAAGTAATCCTACAATTTTTTGTTTATAGCATAGTTTATACGGATTATTCCCAAAAATTATACGTGTTTTGGAAGTGTTGAATCGATTAATTTTATGGAAGAAAACCTTTCAAACAACCGTAGTCCGTAAACTCCACACGTGACGGACTGTGATTGGTTCATATATTTAAGGATTCCTACAACGTGAAATTCGTATAAAGTGGAACGTATCTGCTGCGTTATAGGGGGTCGACTGTATTTTGAAGAATTTTTATACTGTTTTTTTTATATGTACTGTATTTATTTAGTGTATTTTTAATTCTATATAATCATTATCTTTGTTTTTATGTATATTTGTTAATTTTGGGCTTTTTAAAACTCTTTCTGCCCTGTGGGCATTCATTTCATTCATTCATTTGTTTTATTAAGATACCATAGTGGTACATGCCTGGTACTGCATAGCATAACCGGGTAGTAATATAGGTAATACAATGGTTTACAGTATATGAGGAGATACATGAGATATATATAGAAATATAATTGAGTTAACATAAAATAAAAGTAATAATAATAAATAATAATAATAAAGAAAAGAAATAATGAACAGATACAAATACCGAAGTTACAAAAATGCAATAGTAGCAGGATACAGTAAGTTATTATAAAATACAAGGCCCGAGATGAAGAGGTTAATAGTTCACCTGGACGGTGAGTGGATTCCCGGACTGTCCGGATGGTAACACTATTCCCCGTGCTCATTTTCAATCGGTCCCAATCGGGGCGGGTCGCCTCTGCCGCCCCCACTACGCTACGCCACTGATTAGACCTAATCTCCAATAATTACCTTTTCCGCCAGAAGTAACAGTTGGATTTATCCTCCGTTCTATTATCATTTTTCTTTTTTGGACTCCATCTCTCAACGCCCTTACTTCGGAAGAAGTAAAACGACGCCTTCTTTTTCTCTCTTCCATTTTATTACCGAAACTCGCGTCGGAGATAACTGGAACCGTTTGAAACTTTCCAGACTATATTCCTATTGGGCGAAACGGTATACTTTCGAAATAGGATCACTGATGCTTTGTCGTAAATAGTAACTCGGATTACGATGAACTTCATTATTGCAATTCGCTTCAAAACTAGTAGAGAGCAAGCAATGTATTGTTAATTATAGAAAAAGAAGTTCGAGAATCTTTTCCAAATGTTTAAATGGCCTTGAGAATATATTTAACGCTAATGATATTTAATGTGACTGGTGAAAGATCATTTTCTAAACTATTCATTATTAAAAATGTGTTGCGAACATCCATGACACAAGAACGTTCATAACGTTAAATTATTCAACAGTCATGACTCATGAGTACAGAACGTGATGTATTACGTGAAATAAATATCGAAGATATAATAAAGAATTCTGCAGATAAAAAAGCACGAAAATGTTTTATACAGTATAATTTTTTATAAGTTTGCTTTATTTAATTTAAACGTATTACGTTTAATGTATGTTGTCTATATTTTATAAAATAAAGAGTTATTTAATTAAATTTATATGAATTTATAAGAATGTTTTAAGCTTTAACACCTTTACAATAATAAGAAAAATTTTTAAAAACATATTTTTTAAGTACAGTAATTTGTATAAATTTTCTAAATCATCAAATTTGCCTACTCTTAGGGACCCACCAGTGGCCAAGCGGTCTTCGTTCCCTGAACACTAGGAGTTCAGTCGTATGTTCGTATCTCGCTCTGACAGGTTGGCCACGTGGAGTTTTCCTGATTTTCTCCACATCTGTAACACCTAAATAGGGGCCAGTTTACCTTAAAAAGACCTTCCGGAAGGCATCCCCTACGCAGATCGCCCAAGTGTTGCGTTGCCATAACTAACTAAGCAAACAGCCTACTCTTAAAGGGCACTCCACCTTATTTGTGCCTATGATTGTTCAATATGGCGCTGCTCTCACCAAATTCCATTTCATATTTACCACTATTTGCGCGAAATATATCAAATCTATTGAAATATGATCCTGTTGATATTTCTTCAACAGGAAAATATAGCAAGTGTCTTTCTCTATAAGTCTGCAATAAACAAACATAATTTTTGTTCAAAAGCAAGTACAGTAGAGCGTCGTTTATCCGAATCGATTGGGGACTGGGGTTGTTCGGATAACTTATTTTTCGGATAACCGATTATGTACGAAAAAATATATTAACCTATCCCATGTTGAAATTTTTCTCCGTTGCGTGTTGCTTCGCGTTGAATTTTCGTCGATGTTAAGCCTAACGTAAACTTTTTAAAATAATAATCATGGCAATTGTATCGTAAAAAATTATTTCTTTATTTTTTGCAAACAAAATAAATATATTGAAAAATATAAAAACAAAAAAAATTATACTTTACAAGTTAATCTAGTATCAAAAACGTTCGATTCAGCACCACACAGTCCTCAGAAAAACACCACACAAATGTGCCAGTGCTGCCAGCTAAAACACACACATCAACAAAAAAAATATTGGAGTAGCCCAAGATATAGCCAAAGATTGCAGCGCCACAGCACTAGCGAAAATTTAAATTTGCCGACTGGAATGCTTTCGGATAACCGGCTTTCGGATAAACGACGCTCTACTGTACTTCTAAAAGCAAAATACAGTAGACCCCCTATAAAACGGCATATAATGCAGATTCATATATAACGGCGAAAAAAATTGCGACCGTATTCGTTTAAACACGCTAAAAGAAACTCGTAAAATGCAGTAAAACGTCATCGCCGACTCGTGTCGCGACAGGATTGGTCGAATCTAGGTCAATAGCCGATATTGCACAAACCGTTGAGTTTAAACGAGCAGCGGACCTACTAAAAACCATTTATTATTTAACGGATATAAAAATTATATTTATATTAATGATGTTTCCAAAGTTCAGCGAATTTTTAGCAGAAAAATAATTTATCAGGAAACACGTACCCACCGTTTGATGAGCCGCTCCACGACGAAAACAAGCTTAAGCAATGGCGTCGTCGAACAGTGCACACTCGGTAAGTGTTCACTGTTCGATGACGCCACAATTTTTTGTTTATAGCATAATTTATACGGATTATTTCCAAAAATTATACGTGTTTTGGAAATGTTGAATCAAATTAGTCTAGAATCGATTAATTTTATGGAAGAAAACCTTTCAAATAGCCGTAGTCCGTAAACTGCATACGTGCCGGGCTGTGATTGACTCATGTATTTAAGAACTCGTAGAACATGAATTTCATAAAAAGCGGAACGCATCTACCGTGTTATAGGGGGTCGACTGTAGCTTTATTTCCCTTTCCTTGCAGTTTCTTGCGCAGTCATGTCCACCATAAAATAAAATTTTTGTAACCAATCGTGATAATTGAGCTCAACGTAGTTGCGTTGAGCTCAATAATGTTGTCAATAATCGGTTTGGCAACCTCGTTGTTAATATATTACCGTAAAATGGGGCAAAGAATGAAATGTATTCATCTTGTGTCTTCTAGATCAGCGGTCGCCAACCTTTCTGACCTCATGGACCACTAAATTCATAATTTTGAATCCCGTGGACCACTATCATGAATATTTTTAAATTTATTAAACAATACAAATATCTCTAGAATAATGATCATTTGAAAGTTTCATTTTACTTTATTAATATGAGATTCAATTGTTTAATTGTAACAAATTAGAGAGGTTGCGACAGAAGTTTTCATCTCTAAAACGTGAACGTCGAACGTTGAGCGCTGCCATCTTGTAAGCCTAGAAGTTTGACAATGGCGTTTGGAATGACGAGCATGGTTCCAATGACGTTACAGAAGCCATATCTAAATCTAACCTAACCACGTTTTAGAGATGAAAACTTCGGCGCAACCTTTCTATTAGTGTGAAGTTTGTTGCTGCTTGTTTGAAATAAGTGTATGGATTCTTGGCATTTTCCACGAAGGACGACAATCGCACTCACATTATTTATTATTGATTATTGAATTATTTATATTTCGTGTTTGGTTTTAGATTCTAATAAAAAGGCAACCTAGCATTTTGCATTTCTTTCGTAATACTTCGCGTTATTTTTAATTGATCAATATCCAAATTTCTCCTTGACCAACAAAATTTTCTCGTGGACCATCAGTGATACACGGACGACCGCAGCCCTAGATAACATATTGTTTGCAATGAATACTACTCATTTGTAAGACTGACCAGTTGCCAAAAAAAAAATTAAATAAAAAAAATTTAAAGGTATCAAATTTTAATGTCAAATAGTCTTTACCAAATAAAAATCTTACTTTTTTTTTTATTAAAAATGTTGTTCATCATTTTCATGCTTAAGTCAATAGTTTTTCCTATTGATGATTCTTTGAATTAGCTGCTAAGAATTGCTATCCGCCCTTAACGATAGACTTTTGGTGTGTAGTAATCACAATTATCTTTCTTTTTCTTACCACTCATTTTTAGTGGGCTATAAGATGGCCTGAAGGAATATTTACGAGTATTTTAAAATTAATGCAAAACTATGTTTTGTGGAAGATAACTGACAACTAAAAGTAAACGTTTCAAGACAGCAACGTGTGCTTGCGTAATTCAGTACTGCCAACAGTTTTTGATTACAGTTGTCAATTTAACTAGTTTCTTGCTAGATTTAGTGGATTTATGAACAATCTAGCTATGCAAATTACCTAAATTAGGCAAATCGCCTAGCTATTTTTATAATGCTATCTAGAAATAAAAAAAAAATCAAACAATTTTAATGGAAACAATATAAATATTTTTATTAAATGTCTAGCTATAAATTTGGATTTTGAGTTGGCAACACTATTTTTGATTCAGTTTTTATGTAAAATAATTAATAGTGTATAAATTACTTTTCAGAAACTTCGGAAATAACCAGATTTTAGTATTTTTCAAAAAGTACTAAAAATAGCTGTTTTTTGTTGTAGTAATACTTTAGTACTTGATAATTACTAATGGTACCAAGAGTGGTACGTTTGTACCAGTTGTGGCAACGTTGAGACAGACTGGAGTGGGATATGACGGACATGCGCTTTAGAAGTAGGAATGAATCTTCACGATGATTGGCTGCAGATATCACGTGATTTAAACGTCACTGTCTCATTTTCCTCTAGAATCCCGTGATTGCATTATATACAGTCCATATAAAAATGGTCCGAGAAGCTAGTACAGTAGAGCATCGATTATCCGACTCAATTGGGGACTCAGGTTGGTCGGATAACTGAAAAATCGGATAACCGAAAAGAAGGGAAAAAATACATTATGGGTGCATATACTTTTCGTTTTGTATAGATCGATCTGTAAAATCGGATCAGTCCTTGTCACGTGATAGATAGCTTCTGTCATGGCGGAAAGTATACGAGTAGGATCGAAGATGACAGCAAGCTTAGGAATCATTTTAGAAATATTATCGGAATTAGATTCAGAATCCGAGGAAGAAGAATTAATTTTGGTTAATTATTTAACACAATATAAAAGTAAGAAAAAAACAAATCGGTATGCAAAATAACTATGTTTCAGAGGTTGCATTAGAATATAGTCCAAATGTTTTTAAAGAACACTTTCGAGTAAGTCGACTTACTTTCGAAAATTTACTGAAGGATCTTTTTCCCATTTTATGACAATCAAAAGAAATAGTAATAGGAAAAGGAAGAAATGCACTTTCAGCTTAACTTCGGCCATGGAAGCCGCCATCTTTAATCTCTTTTATCTGATCCAAACGATCCTACCCTCCGTAGGATTAGTTTGATCGAGATGCAGTTGATCCTAGATGGCGTTTGTATAGCAAATAGAGATCGATCGGATCACAGTAGTTCGTTTGTATACAAGATTTGTACGATCGAAGTGATCTTGGATCAGTTTGATCCCAAAAGTATACGCACCCTATTAGTAGAGTATACAGTAGAGCGTCGTTTATCCGAAAGCATCCCAGTCAGCAAATTTAAATTTTCGTTAAAATTTAAATTTATTGCTGTGGCGCTGCAATCTTTGGCTATGTCTTGGGCTAATCCAATATATATTTTTTTGTTTGTGTATGTGTTTTAGCTGGCAGCACTATCACTTTTGTGTGGTATTTTTCTGAGGACTGTGTGTCATGCTGAATCGAACGTTTTTGATAGTATATTAACTTCTAAAGTATAATTTTTTTGTTTTTATATTTTTTTAATGTATTTATTTTGTTTGTAAAAAACAAAAAAATAATTTTTAACGATACAATAGCCCCGATTATTATTTTAAAAAGTTTACGTTAGGCTTAACATCGACGAAAATTCAACACGAAGCGACACCAACGGAAAAATATTTCAACATGGGATAGGTTAATATATTTTTTCGTACATAATCGGTTATCCGAAAAATAAGTTATCCGAACAACCCGAGTCCCCAATCGATTCGGATAAACGACGCTCTACTGTATTAGGATATTAGTACTGTATATCCCATGTAATTAGTTTATTAGTATATCGCTATTAACCAACTTCGCGATAAATTTTCATCGATGTTAAGCCTAACAAATTTTTTTAAAAATAATAATCGTCTCTATTGTATCGTTAAAAATTATTTTATTGCTCACGAAACAAACCACTCATAATTAGAAAATTACGTCTCGTTTAAATACTGGCCTCCCTTCATAGGTCGAGCCGTTGATGCCAGCTAAAACACGCAAAAATTTAACAAAAATAATATTAAAGTAGCCAAGACATAGCCAAATATTGTAATGCCACATCACTAGCGGACATTTAAAATTTGCCGACTAGAACGGTCGGTTAACCGATGTGACAGTTAACCGGGGTCGGATAATCGATGCTCTACTGTAGTATGTTTTTTTCTAAGACTAAATCACAATGATGACGACTAACAATCTTAACCTTTTTAAGTTTTGATAAAGAAATTGTTGTGATCAAAGTGAAAAGGATGTGGAATTTATTAACTTGTTCACTTGTTGTTACTCAACTTGCTTCACATGTTTTACTTCAAATATTACTTACCCGTGATTATAAAAAATGTAAAAGAATTGCTTGAATAAAAGTAACATTGCTTTATAAAAAACTGAGTTTGTAAATTATTAAAATTTTAAAAAAGTAATAACGAAAATAGAAATAAACCTAAAGCACTGTAATGTCTTTTTGATTTTATATACAAAAGGACAAATAACAGTCACAAATTAAACTTTTTATTCAACTGCTGAGCAGACAATAGTTGACTTCGTTATACCTTCTTTCCTATGTTTAACTTTGAAATTCATATTTTTCTTGATTTCTGCCGGAAACTTGTGAAAGCGAATTTTCTGTTCATTATAATAATCTCCCTGTTTAAATTTACACTGGGGAAAAGAGCAACATCGTCCCATTGTTTTAATACAAAGTTAAAATATATCTACATGCGTTATCCTCGATTCGTAGCCATGTTTACATTTCACTAGCGCCACCAAAAAGTTGCATAAATGTTAACTACGGTACAGCAGAATTCCTTAATGTATTTTCGGAATGCTGAGCAGTGGGTGAAATCAACCTACTGACATAAGGAATCTGGAATAGAATCAGCTCCAAATCACCATAATTTGTCCTAAATAATACAGATCTTGGCATCGTTCCTACCCTTCATTCATGATCCGCTCTCGTATCAGACTCATCCTAAATAAACGAAATATAGCCGACCAAATACTGTACTGTATTTCTAAATGCAAAATTTCGGCATCTCTACGTAAATTATCTACTTACATCTATTGTACAATAAAAATTTTTGAATGGGCAGAATGATTGGTTTTACTTTATGGTTTGAAATTTTATTTATTAAAAATCTTTTAAATAATTAAATACTTCGTTGTTCCTTGAAATCTTATTCGAGTCGCATCACATCACGCTTCGTTCAATTGTGGAAAATAAATTATAGCCAAATTGTTACGCTATTATTTTCGACTCGAAAAATTATAATGTGCGATATCTTATGATCAAAATTTTTTCTAAATTATAGTATTTACAGCTTTAGCATTTGTCATTATCCAATGATAACGTTGCTCGTTCTAGTGTCAAATTTTCGTATTTTTTCCTGCGCTATAGCTTTACAGTTTCATTCTAAATCAACGTTATTGATCAGGTGGTCACGCAGAATTCTAAATCCTCTTTAGGTACTCAGGTTCAAATTTGATCTGCATTTTCGCAAAATTTTACGGTTGCTTCGTTTCCTACTCTATTCTCGCTGTGCGATCTCACTGCCGGTCACAAAATCGAAGCAAGAGCCATTAATTGGGACCTTGTTAAATCTCCGATTCCTTAATCAAAGTTAAAATATTAAAAAATTTCTTTGTAAATATTTGCGGTCATATTTGTGCAGCAGATAGCTACTTCGCTTACTTTATCTCAAGTTTCATTCTTTAAAAATATATTCATTTATCGAATAAATGTGAAACTTATAAACAGACCCTATTAAAAATTGCATATTTACGCATCAATTATTCGTATCATACCATTACGTAAAAAATTATAAGACAATTGTCCTTTACAAAAATTTTGCGAAATAGTAACATTACAACAGTTTTGGATAATTCTTTAAACTTTTCTTCAGATTTTAATAAAATTAATGATAAAAGAAAAAAAAGAACATCAGATTTTTTCAATAGTCCGTAGTTATCAAAACATATACAGTTACATTTATGAATTTTTTCTTCTTGTTTTCATCAAAGTGCATTGGAAAAAATTTTGAAAAATATGACAATTTAATTTTATTAAATTACTCCAATGTTTACTAAAACTCTGTTCAGAATAAAATTTCTAAATTAAAATTATTCACGCGTCCACAATTTGTCAAACAGAAAAATCATAAGTCACTTCCACATGAAATCACCGAAACAACAACAAAATCGTGTAAGACTGCTTTGTTGAAATTTGATGTACGCATTTTGTATCTAAAAAATATTAGAAATTATTTTAACAAATCCCATCCATTCATATATTTACAGGTCGGCGTTTTTTTAAATCAGAACAAAGACTTACGATTTGATTGATTCAAACGTCGTATTACACGTACGACGGTGAGCCAAATTGGAATAAGTTTCTTTATACCATTTGGTTCACACACGAAAGTTTATGATAAACAGCAGCTTCGTATCATTATTACATGACTAGTTATCATATATAATTTGTATGTATATATATATATAAATATAAATATAGTGCATATATACATAAATACATACATATATATATATGGTAAAACAATAAAATAATTTGTATACAATCGATAATCCATGTATCGTAACAACAAATAATTATAATTTATTTTAGAGAATTTCAAAATATAATATTCTTTTTCACTGTTCAATCCTGATGCTCGTGCTCCATTACTGGTGCATTCTCTGGAGTTTCATCTTGGCTATCAGTATTGAGATCGCCCGTTTCTACATTATATAAAGTTTTATGACATAGAGGACATATATCCTGAACATATAACCATTTCCTCAGGCAAACTCCATGAAAGTAATGATTACACCTAGTAATACGTGCATTATGCAGTTCCTGGTAACATATGGCGCAGACATCATCAAAATTTGTCAATTGTTCTTCAGTAGCTTCTGGCAGAGAGTTTATTTTATGGACTGCAGACCTTCTTTTCATAAAAACTTTCCATCCAGCTTTGGCTTGAAGCCAAATGTTGAAATAGGCATGAATGCACATCATGCAAGCTCTTATTGTCCCTCCTGATTCAAAGAGTAAAATCCAAGCACCATTGAAAAACAGAAAAATACCAAAAATAAATTCAACAGTATTTCCAGTGGCTCTGATATAATAAACATAGTCATCTAATTTTTCCCAGAAAGTATTTCTGTAAGCGTCGATCATAAATAATATATATACTAATAATGATATGATAACCTTGATAACTACTTCCACACTAAATGCAGAAACAGCTAAAAGCCATGTGCTAATAGTATGTTTAGTCCACAGCAAAGTCAAAAACCAGCATGGAAAAACTATAAGAAATGTGCAGACAATTAGTGCTCGGCCATGCTTGTTAAGTGAAGTGTTCCTTGAAGCACTTAGAGAAAGTAATAATGGATTGACCATGTTGTGGATAAAATGTAAAACTGCTGTAAAGAGGAGACACAAATTTCTATATAGTCTTAGAAACCTTTTTTCAGGTTCCATACCTGTCAGGCCTGTTTGCAAAGCTAAAATAAAGAATAAAATAGCAGAAACAGTTCCTATGCTCCTGTCTTCAGGATCTTCCAGTAGAAGAAATGTTTGCATAACATAACCAATATAATGAGAAATAGAAGATATGATACTGGTCATACCCATTACTGCTATTATGGTTTCACAACCCCTAACTAAAAGTTCCTTCACAACAAACCATATCATATCTAGAGTAACAGAAATTAAACCATTTGTTTGATATTCTGTATGAGCAGCATCAGCAAGTAAGAAGACACACTGTTCAGCTAACCTGGTTAACCAGAATACTCTAAGTACTTGAGGGACATGAAGACGAATCCATTGGTTTTCTAAAAAAGTATACATGCCATAATGTTGTATTATGCCTCTAGACCATTGATAACTGTTATGAATAGTTTCATATATCATCTGACAGTGTGTCAATGAATTTGCTACAATGAAGAAGAATGATATAGCAGCTGAAGCTAAAGGGGTGCATGTAAGTATGGCAGATGGTAGAGGAAGTAGACTTATTACTGTAGGCCCAATAAAAGATAATCCAATAGCTCTTAACGGAGACATGCATGGTGGAGTGTTATTAGAAAAACAAAATATCATGGCCAGAAACATTTGCAGAAGATAGTTTCCACTGAATTTTAAGAGAGCTCTCTTATTAATGGCAATCATTTCATAAACAATATTTGTATGACGTTCCGTCAGACTTGATACATATTTAATATATTCTTCATTACACACATAAGACCAGATAATAACTCCAAATGACGCAAATAGTAGATAAATTGATAAAAGTTGTTTGGTGTTTAAGACAAATACAACTAATGCTGCGATAAATCCTGTAAACAAAAGAAAAAGAGAAAAATTTAGCAATAATAATGATCAACATTAATCAATAAATATGTTATTATATACAGTAATATAATAATATAAGGTAACTTTTGTTGTGTTTTCCTGTTTAAAGTACATTAACTTAGTAACAAATTCCAGATCTATATATTACCATAAAGAATTGTTATTGATAAGTCTATCCAAAAAACTGCTTGAAAATTTGATGCTTCATTTGACTGTTAGAACAAGCAGAGCAAATCTCATCTGCTGCCTGCCTACAACAAAATAATAGTGTCACCTGTACATTGTTAACATGAAGACCAAGTTATTGGTCTTCATGTTAACAATGTTAACAATATATTGGTCAAGGAAAACATCTTGTGCAGTCCATTTACCATAAGCTTAGATTTAGTGCCTTGAAACATTTTCCTATTCTTAGAATTGAAGATGAAGTTACAGAAAACTTATTTCCCGTCTACTGTTGTTGACAGGACATGATTCTTAAAAACATCTCAAATGATGCATTACTATGTTCTTCAAGCATTGACAGAAATGCATTGAATTCCACAGGGAATTCTTTGAAAAAGAACAGTTGCCCAGAATAATTATAATGTGGAAAAAGTTTATCTCAATTTAATTTTTACCTGCCTTTGTAACTCAGAAAGTTTCAGAAAGATACATCATCTCACTCAAATCTTTACTAAAAATATTAATGATACAGTAAAACCCATGGAAACCAGAATTGGTAGAATCATATTTTTTCTGTTTTGAACAGGTTTTCATACTTTTTTATGTTCAAATTATATCAGTTAAATTACATACAGTTGTTAATTTTTAATATTAAAATCACTTTTACATATATAAAAAAATATTAAACTAAATCCAAATTAATTCAAAGTGAATCCATCAAATGCAAGTATTGAAAACTGTTCAATCTTAAAAGTTCTTGCCATTCCTGAGAAACTTGTGCTAGTTCAAGTACTTCTTGGATGTAATCCTTAAGAGCTTACACTGCAGCAAACAAGCCAATTCTAGTATCAAAAACCAAAATGTTTTGCTGTGCCACTGGAAGATCTAATCACATTACAATAATACAAAAATCTACCAAGTTATTCTGTGATCTTGCTTCTTGAAAATTTTAGAACTGTTTTCTTCAATCTATGTACTGTAATTATCATATTGTAAAAAGAGAAGACACTGAGGTCGGCGTTACGTGTGCGTTTTTTTAATCGCTAGTACTTTTGACAAACATATAGCCGTCGTCATCAGGCGAATACGAAGATTTACCGAAAGAATTAAACGAAAATAATCCGATTTGGAATAGAATGCTTAAATTTAAGTTGAAACTTTAGTCAAAGTCGTTAGGAACACGATAGAAATATAAAAAAATATTCGAAAAACGAACGAGCAGAAAGCTCCATGATGTGCGAATACGCACATGCGCAGATCTAGACACACACTGTACGCATTCTGGAGAATGCTAATTTTTACTTAATTGCTTGTATAGTGTGATCCATACACTGGGCAGCTCGAGAGTTGGAATGTTGCACGTGTCCAAGGTGGTAGTAAGAAGAGACTCCCATATGAAAACGATTTTTCGATCCTTACAGCTCTTGAGCATAACCGCTTGGGACCATAGCGAATTGTAACCCTGCTCAAGTACTTTTCTTGTGAGCTCTGTGGTGTGTCTACCCCTCGCAACATTGTTTTGGTGCTCTTCTAGTCAGCTTGCAAGCATTCTACTAGTGGCCCCGACATATCTTGCGTTTACTCCCATTGCAAGGTTTTCCAGAGGTACAGCATAGACCCCCGACTTCTCAAGCATGGAAAATTTATCCCTATCGTTACAAATGAGTTTGCGTAGGTTTGGAAGTGGGGTTAGTGGTAGTATAAGACCGTGCTGCTTAAAGATTCTGCAGATACATATAGAGAGGGGTCCCAGGTATGGCAACGATGTTTGTACCATTGAAAATTCTCTTTTGCTGCATAATGTGGTACTTGGAAACAGTGATTTCTTAACCATATTGAGCACATGCGTAAATTTTGCACGTGAAAAGCCAGCAGTGCATACCCCCAAACTTATGTTGTCTAACTCCATGTATACCAGCTCTTGCGAAGATGATAGTAAGTAAGCCCTTCTAACGAGAGAGGCAATGGCAGCATTAGCATATCGAGAAGGCTGAAAGGCCTCTGCTGGTATAATGTGTGGAGCTATGCTGGACTTGTGATGAACCGAGAATTGTAGTCCTTCTGAAGATATACATATATGCAGGTCTAAGAACGTTATTGCCGCATTGCTTTCTTTCTCCCAAGAGAAATTGATGGAAGAATATATGCTTGACAGTTGCTGCATAAAGATGAGGAACGTCTCATCTGTGTCTTCCCACGCTATGAGGATGTCGTCAACGTAATGCAAATACAGCCTCGGATAGTGGATGGCAAGCAGGGAATTGAACGTTCTGTGCTCGATCTCTCTCATAATAAGTTCTGCCAGGATAGCAGATAAAGGGGAGCCCATAGGAACCTCTTGCTTTTGTAAATAGATTTTCTGGTTGAAACGGAAGTAATTACACTCGGTGACGAAGTTGAGCACATCTCGTAAATCAAGCACCTCTTGGATTTTAAAGCCCTTTCTTAGAAGTAGAGAATTAGCCAGCATTACTGCCTCAAAGGTTAACACTGAGGGATATAAAGATACTACATCCAGCTTGTAAAAGGTGTAGGCGTCTGGCCGTAGTGTACCAATACTTGAAGTGATGGTAGATTTAGCAATTACAGAAGAGGGAGTAACATATGGAGAATTTGGAACTAATGCGCGAAGGAATTTAGCAAGCGCTTTTTCTAAATAATAGGTTGGACGAGACCGTTTGTTTACTAGCAGACGTAACGGCCAGTTTATCTTATGGGTTTTTTGGTTGAAAGAACAACCTAGAACACGCAACATTAGAGGGGGGATCGAGCGACCCAGTTAGGGTTGAGGAAACACCTGGTAAGGCAATGATTCTTCTTGCCTTTCTTAATACCGTCGGGGTAAGGTCCTCACTCATTTCCGAGGAATGCGACTGTGTTAAAAATTCATTGGCCCTGATGAGAAAGTCATTCTCTGTGCACAGCACAAACCTCCGGTCCTTGTCAGAGACTAGAAGTCTCAAGTTGGTTCTGGCAAGCAAGTGTTCTACTGTTCGAAGGTCCACAAAGCCCTTGGGCTTGCCGGATCTTTGTTTTGCTGTGGCAAGCTCCGTAATTATAGATAATTCCATTTGTGAACATGCAGTGTCCTTCTGGAATATTGTGGTATTAAAGTGGAATATTGACGATTATTCTGTATATAGATAATTATACATAATTACAAATAATATTCATACATCTCAAAATGCATCTGTAATAAAATTCGTAATATAACAAAGTAATATGCCAACAAACTAGTGAACAGACAAGTGAATACATAAAGATTATATTTATACATTTTAAGACAAATTAGAATAAGTATTTTTATATAAAAATGAAATTAAAGATGAAATTACAAACATATATAAAGAAAGTATGAAAACAAAGTAAGAATTTTGGGTGACATAACACCCAAGAGCAAGTCCTCAATTGTATATGGTGATACGTGAAAAACAAGAGAACCTCTTCGCTAGTCTATTGAATGCTTGATAGACATCTTCGCTCTTTAAAAAGTCAGAAGGAACACAAGGCCAGATAATATTTCTTTCCTGGAGCAGGAGAATAAGTTCCAGTCTTTCTTTTTCCAGGGCTACACAGTCGTAAATGTAATGTAGGGCACCATCTTCTACTTGACACACCGGGCACAGGCGAGATNCTATGAATTTAGTTTAGATCAGCAATTATCATCTAGATATTCATTATTCATTATTTTTTATTGCACAAACAACATATACATCCTGGTCCCGCAGAAAGCATTACTAGGGAAATGTTTACATGGATAAAATTCAAAGTACATATTTAAAAATAACAGAATTACAGTAAAATATTAATACGTTACAGAGGAATTCCATCAAATAATAATATTTACATTAAGATAAGTATTTTCATGAATAAAACAGAAACAAAATGTTATGTTTAAAGTGGAATGTTGATGATTATTCTGTATATAGATAATTATACATAATTGCAAATAATATTCATACATCTCAAAATGCATTTGTAATAAAATTCATAATATAACAAAGTAATATGCCAACAAACTAGTGAACAGACAAGTGAATATATAAGGATTATATTTATACATTTTAAGACAAATTAGAATAAGTATTTTTATATAAAAATGAAATTAAAGATGAAATTACAAACATATATAAAGAAAGTATGAAAACAAAGTAAGAATTTTGGGTGACATAACACCCAAGAGCAAGTCCTCAATTGTATATGGTGATACGTGAAAAACAAGAGAACCTCTTCGCTAGTCTATTGAATGCTTGATAAACATCTTCGCTCTTTAAAAAGTCAGAAGGAACAGAAGGCCAGATAATATTTTTTTCCTATTTTTTCCAGGAGAATAAGTTCCAGTATTTCTTGTTCCAGGGCTACACAGTCATAAATGTAATTTAGGGCACCATCTTCTACTTGACACACCGGGCACAAGCGAGATTCCCTATTTGTAAATTTGCATAAGTAGCTTGCAAACTTTCCATGGTTAGTGAGCAGTTGTGTAGTGTAAAAGTTTGCAGAGAACCATCGTAGATAATAAAAATAATTTATATTAGGAATGAACTGAAAAGTGTGGCCATTATGGTAAGAACTCCATCTATTTTGCCAGTCGTTTATGGTGTTTTTCCATAGCATCTGCCAAACAGTCTGCTTGCTATATCTATTGTATATTATTGGGGCTAAATTATCCTCGATGGCTAGTTTTGCAAGGGTATCTGCTCTTTCATTCCCTGACTCTCCTTGATGAACATGAATCCAAGTGATTGCAAATGTGCAATCACAGACACTAATGAAATAATTGATCTCAGCTACAATAGGATGCGACCCAATATTTTTA